CAAACCACTCCATTTCCTTACTGTCTTAGCCCTTTCTACAACGTTCAAGTACTGGCTGTCCATCTATTTTATTTTTTTTTCAAATATTATTTTTTTAACAACTTTTTGGGATAAATGATGATAAAATTCACCACTTTCTTACAAATTTTGACCATGAGCATGTCCTATAGATCTAAATATATTATGTAATTACTTTGTCCTGATCATACACGGAAATGGTTAACTTGATTCCGACCATAGATTTCTAAGCATTATTTTTCTCTGTTTGTTCTTTGTTAATTAGTGTAAAATTGTAGCTAAATTACAAGAGTATAATATACATGTATTATGTAAGCTTTTCTTAGAGTTAATTAGGATAATAACGAAATAAAAATGTCCTTGATCGTGAGCGACAGTTAAAGAAATTTTGCAAAAACAGCACACGCACGATATGGCCTTTAGACTTTATAACAGACCATGGTACAACGATAAATAGGCTATATTTACCAAGTTACTGTGAAAAAGAGGGACTGTAGTGCTTAGTGCACGAGTGCACGAGTGCACTTATTATCCTTGGTTGCCCCATGTCAGGCAGAAAAAAGCCATTCGTCCCGAGGGCTAGAGTCTATCGATATCATGATGCTACAGCTTTGTGAACAATGTTACGTGGAAAGTCAAATAATATTATTTATGTTATTACGAAGTTTATCTTGGTTTCAAAATGTCAAGGTCCAGCTAATGAGGAATTAAAAGTTGTTCCTCAAAAAAGTTCTTATTTTTTCTATTGTTGTTGTTTTTTCTTCTTTTTAATGGGCGACCTTTACCAAGCATTTCTTATCTGTGTGCAATCTTTCGGGGTTTCCAATGTCATCCATATATGTGAGGCAGCGTGGTGGAATCAGGCTCTCGTCAAAATAATCAAAATGAAGAAACTTGCTTTTTTCCGCAGGTTTGTGAGTTTTTATCAATTTTTTGTTTTTGGTTCAACACCTTTCATGCCTATTAAAGAACTAATTTCTGTGTGGATTTTTCTGAAAAACGTTGATTAGAGACACAGAAAATGTAAATTTTCTGTTACCGCGGACTCTTAAGCTAAGGAAATAACTCATCTTTAGCGGCCATTTTCTCACTCATTTTACCTCTGAAACCAGGTGATCCCCCACCTCCTTCATTCGCAATTATCTCCACTTCTGTCTATTCAAGATAAATGGATATTTTTAAAATTCAAATAAAGACAAGTGAACAAGCTTTAAGATGATACCAATAACTCTTTATGCTCAAATATTGACGAGAGCCTGATTTCACCACGCTGCCTCACATATTATAATATCACAAAAGACTTATAATTTCTTAATCCTCATCTTATTGGAACTTGAAAACGACCTTAAAATATGCCTTTCAAGAGCCAGGATTCTACTTTTTTCCGCCTTTGTTTGTTTGTTTTTCTAATTGTTTTATGTCCCAGTCGACACATTGTGGATCTTTTAGTCAGTGGGCTTCGCCCATAGATTCACACTAAAGGAGATAACTCTTTGGCTTCATCCCTGCCTATCAGGGCAATCCCGGGCTGAGAAAGATACAACAAATTCCTTGCAGAATGGCCGACATGCTGAAATAATAAAATAAATTACCGATACCCACACAAGAATCGAACGCGGATCTTCTGCATGCATCGACGAAGCGCTTTAAACCGCTACATGATGAACGTCGGTAGCCGGGACCCTGTCTGTATCCTCTTCAGTGTGATTTTGAAAAATACAAGAGGGAGGGAGTGTGTGTGTGTGTGTGTGTGTGTGTGTGTGTGTGTGTGTGTGTGGTAACCTATACGCTCGAAATGTTTGGAGCCCCGAAGAGCGTGCTCTTCTGTGTATGTTGCTCTCTAGTAACACCTCTAATCTCCGGCACCTACGTGACCTATCTGTGTCGCAAGTGCCGTAAAACCCTCACCACAACTCCACTGAAGAACAACAGTGGGAACGATCTGTTTACACAGCAGTGAATCAAATGCCCCCCCCCTCTCTCTCTCT